GGGTAGAGAAATGAGAGAAAGTACCAAATGGACAATTGATTTTCAATTCTTTTATATTTACAGTAAACTATGAATGGATTACATTTGTTATAATGAAATGAAAATATGCTAGATATATAGTTGCTTACTTTTGTTGAGCCTACTTTAAAAATTTTAAAACTAACTTCAAACCAGTTTTTATAAGAGCAGTGTAGTAAATGTATTAAGATGACATTTGCTCTTTGTTTTTTCTTTCTTTTCTTGTGAATATACTTACACTGATACCTCTTCCTTCGCTTTCTCTACTGCTGCTGCTTTTTGTGATACTGGGTACTAAACCTACAACTTTGCACATACTAAGCAACTACTCTACCACTGACCTATACTCCCAGCCCCCTTTTAATTGTCTTTGAAGAAGAGATTGCTTCCTGTTATTACAGATGAGAATTTTAATCTCAAACACCCCTGACTTCTCTCTAAACATAATTTTTAAATTAACTGCAAACCACTGTCTTTATAAGAGCAGTGTAATAAGTGTATTACAATGAGATTTCCTTTCTTTTTTTTCTTTTTCTTTCCTCCTCCTCCTCCTCCTTTTTTTTTTTTTTTTTTTTTTTGCAATAATGTCTCACATATCTCGGGCTAGACTCAATAACTGTGTAGCCGAGGATGACCATGAAATTCTGATCTTTCTGCCTCTACTTCCTTCTACTGAGTCCTGGGATTATAGACCTTACCATCGTGGCCAGTTTATGCTGGGGACCTGTGCCTAGTAGACAAGCTTTCTACCAATGGAGCTACATCCCAGCCTTGGCATTTTATTTCATGTACAAACCTTTTATTTTTTCTGGAATCAGTAATTACCTACCATCTTTTTCTTGTACTTTATACTCAGAACTCTCCAAACTTTCTAACATGTATAGTCCAAGTCTTTCTCTCCCACCACAAGTCTTCTCTTTTAGGGCTTACTTTTTTCTGCTTTTTATTTTCTTTTGTTATGAGACAGGGTTTCTCTGAGTAGCCCTGGCTGTCCTGGAACTCATTCTGTAGACCAGGCTGGCCTTGAACTCACAAAGATCCGCCTGTCTCTGCCTCCCAAGTGCTAGGATTAAAGGTGTGTGTCACCATCACCACCACCTCCTGGCTTCTGCTTTATTTTTTAATTGATTCTTTAAAAAAAATAAAATTTTTAGTGATTTTTTTTTCTGGAGGTACTAGGCTTTGAACCCAGGGTCTTGTGTTGTCAAGGCGAGCACTCTTCCACTAAGTTTTATCCCCAGCTCTTGTTTTTTTGTTTTGTTTTGTTTTGTTTTTGTGAGAGGGTCTTTGCTATGTAGCCCAGGCTGTTGTGGAACTCATTACATAACCCAGTTTGGTTTCAAACTCAACTGCTTTACTTGTCTCAGCTGCTCAGATACTGAGATTTCAGGACTGAGTCATCATATCTGGCAAGCTTTCTTTTCTTATGTCCTTCTTGGTTTAAATAGTGTCATTTAGATGAATATACTATTACATACTACATTTGTAGTTCATTTCTTGTATTGGGACATATATATGCACTGAAGTAATCCACAAGGAAAATAGCACTTTTAAGAGTGTATAATAGTTAGCTAAAACAGAACCACCACAAAGAAGAATTTGGCCTTTTACTTTGCTTGGCACATAATAAATGTTTATGGAATTATATTATTTTTAGAACTCTGTGTTGGTACGAGTCTACATAGGTCAACTTCTTTATAGATTAGCAGACCTAAGATTAACTAGAAAGGATAAGTGATTTGCCTAAGGGTTGTATACCTGTTTGAAGATAAAATGGAGACCAATCTCCAGATAGTTTTACTAGTCAATTATACTTTTCTTCAATATGATACTCCCTTATTCAAATAGTCCAGCACTAGACTGTGACCGGTAAGAAGAGAAATTAGCCACATTAGTCAAATGAATTTATTTTCAAATTAAAATTTAAAAACCAGATAAGATTTGTTAAATCATGTTTAAATGTTCCAGGCACAGGTATGATGGTGTTTACATTCTATTTGGGGAGACCAAATAGATATTTAAAATTGCTTGCTACCAAAAAGTACAAAACAAACAAACAAACAAACAAAAAACGTAAACAAAAGCAACTCAGGAGGTAGGAGCAGAAAGATCAAGGAGTTCAAGGCCAGACTTGGCTACATAGAGAGTTTGAAGGCAACCTGGGCTGCACCTTATCAAAAACACAAAATAAAAATAGCTTTTTTAAATTTTGTTTTATTTATTTGTTTGTTTGTTTGTTTTGTTTTTGAGATGAGGTTTCTCTGTGTAACAGAGCCCTGGCTGTTCTGGACTCACCTGTAGACCAGGGTGGTCTTGAATCTACAGAGATCTGACTGCCTCTGCCCCCCAAGTACTGGGATTAAAAGTGTGCACCACCACACCTGGCTAAAAATAGCTTTTATATTATGGAGTTGTCAATTGAATAAGATTAAATAGGATAACAAACTCTTGTAGCCAGTGTACTGGCATGGTGAAAGGGCTTAATAGATATTAGTCACTCTTACTGTATTTTTGGATAGTAAAATCACCAAGTCTCCAAACCTTATACATACAAACAACATTAAACAGACTCAGCAGGTGGTATTTATGTATTTATTCACATATGTAAAGTCATAATAATTTTTTTAAAGGAGGCCATAAATTTGAGAGAGTGTGAAGAGGGGATGTGGGAGGGGTTCAGGAAGGAATGATGTAATTATACTTTAATTTTTAAAAATTACAAAAAATAAAAATAATTTGAATGAGACCAAGTCTCTTTAGAATAAAAGGTTTATGTAAGGAACAATTTATTTATTTAACAAGTACTTGTTGAGAACTTACTATGTACCAAGCCCTGTTCTGAACAGACAAAATTCTTTATGCAGTGCAGAGAGACAGACAACAAACAAACAAAATACGACAAACAGGAGTTGAGGATATAGCTCAGTTAGTCAAGTGCTTTCCCTACAAGGACTTGAGTCCAGTCCTTAGAACACACACACAAATATAACAGACACATAAACAAATATAGTGATAAGTGCTATATAAAAATGCAGCTCACAAAAAAATGCAGATCACTGGGAAAGGGAATGGCAGTACAGAGTGGGATTGATAAAGGAAGATCCTTTGATAGGGTTACAGCATTTGGGCAGAGATTTGAAGGAAAGGATGCAATATGCCGTGCAGTAATCGGGGTAGAGAAGAGAAATGTTCCAGATAAATAGACGAGCAAGTGTGTACTGGTGCTTGGTGTGTTTGAAGACTGTTAAGTTAGTATGGCTCAAGCCATGCGAGGAGAGGGTCAGGAGAAATACTGAGGCCAGCAGGCTACTAGACCATTTAGAATCATGAAAGCCAATGTAGATCGTGGCTTTTTATGCACGGTGACATGGGCATGCATAGACAATCATGAGCAATGACATGACAGTGACTTGTATTATATTTAGGATCTGTTTTTTAAATTGAGAATAAAAAGTAGAAGCTGTGAGACCAATTACAAGATATTGTAGAAATCTGGGTGAGACATGATGACTTAGGTAGTTGTAAAGGTGATTAAAAGTGCCCAAAATCTGGATCTATTGTGAGTCAAGAGTCCATGGAATTTGTCTTGGAAGGTTGTCAGCCTGTTGACCTCAACACTTCTTAGGTAGTGAATAAGGCACAGAAATGGGAGATCACTGCTTTTGAGATGATAAAAAGATTCTTATAAAGAAGAATGATAATGGTCACAACTAGATTTAAGAAGGTTAATCTGGAGCTGGGCCAGATGGCACACACCTATAATCCTCACAATTGAGAGGTGGAAATAGGAGCATCAAGAATTCAAAGCCAGCCTCAGTTACACTGCAAGTTTGAGGCAAGCCTAGCTATTTGAAACCCTGTCTCAAAAGTGAAAAACAGCAACAACAAAATGGGTATGGAAGCAGGAGTGTGAATCTAGAGAACTTTAGAGTTTGTTATTCAGGGTGGAGATGCCTGAACTGGGTGCTGTTAATGGGTAGGCAAATCCAAAGTTGTTGGTCTTTGGTGACTAGGGACCTTTCTTAGAATAAACTAGAGATGGAATTCTAGAACATATGACAAAATAACAGTCATCAACCATTCTTCCCACTTTCTTCTCATAAACTTCTTTGCATTTAGCCAAGGCTGGTCTCTAACTTAACATGTAGCCATAAATCAGATCACTTACTATCTCTTAGTGTCCTTTTAACCTACAGCGTTCTTCCAGCCACCTATAAAACATTTCACTCGATATCTCTCACTGAATAACTATCCTAATAGTTTGTGACCGATTATTATATTATATACAAACACGTAAATCATCACTAATATTTTTACCTACCATACTAAGACAAAGACAGTGACAGAGAAATTACAGGCAAAGCCTTATTTTGGAGGGCAAATTTAATCCCTGTTCAAAGGAGCATGTGCCTTTGAAAGAATATATTAAGCAAGAGAATTGTTGATTCTTTCCTTTTTCTTCTTCTGCTTCTGTTCCACTCATTCTTACCTATAATAGTTTTCTTTCTCTAATGAGCTAAAATGTTATCTTTCCATCCCATTCCCGTCAACAGACTGTTCTCTCCTGCCATGTGGGTTCTGGAGATCAAACTCAAGTTGTCAGGCTTGGTGGCACGTGTTCTTATCCAAACAGTCATTTTACTTGCACAAGATGGCCTTTGAAAAAGAGCTAATGCTTAATCTAGTCATCCTAGTTTCTATTTGGACTTCTTTTCCTCCCACTTGAATTATAAACATATTGATTACAACTTCAAAATTCCACATCTAGGGACTTTGCACTCTAATTTCTTTGAACATTTTACTTTAGGATCACCTTTAGAGCTTATGGATTCTCCCTGATTCTCAAATTCTAAGATCTTCCCTAAACATTAGTGAGTTCAGATCAGATTCATTTCTTAAGTTATCACACTCAAGAAACAGAGCTCTGTAGGATAGGCAATATGGAAGGTAAAAAGAAATGATTGTCTTTCATGGTTTTTGTTAATTGTCCTATAGTTCCTTCTGACAAACCTAGAAATTATCCTGTAAATAAATCAAAACCACAGAGTTACTCTGTAAGGTGTTTTCAGTAATATGTGGCTACTAGAGGAGCCCATTAACATAGACATTAACTTACCTATTTAACTCTTAGTTTTCCCATCTGTTGAGTGGGAATAATAAGAGTTTGTATCACACAGATTGCTGTGTGAAGTCACTAGAATGGTTTTGTAGGAGCACAGATAGAATTCCAGAGCCACATTCCACTGTTTCTTTTCCCATGTTCCTGTGGATTCTGTGATATATGTGCATGGGAACTTGCAGAGCTCATGTGAAAACCTTTGATCTATGGTAGTGTTCTTGTTTTATCGATGAGGTAATACTGAGAATATAGACATTCTCTGGTTCCTCACATGATATGTTTTCCTAAATAACCCTTTTATCATTAGGCAGTCTTCTCCAGACATAGCCTAGTTGGCTAAGGTCTCTCATATTCCAGCTGCAGGCTGCCTCACATCACAGTATTACCATTCTTTGACTTTTCATGTCTGTGATGGCATTAGCTACACAGGCAGCTGTGCTTGACCACTCAGCTTCTTACAACTTTCTGTAATACCTAAGGTTGATTGGTAATTTCTCCCTCATCTCTTTTCCTTAAAAATAGGGTCTTTGTTGTATAGCCATGACTCACCTGGTACTAAACTCATGGAAAGCCTCCTGCCTCAGCCACCTAAGTACCAAAATTACATGTATGTGCCACCACTCATGGCTAGAAAATTTTCTACTTATTCTAATAATAAACTATGTTTCCTTTTGCTGTCCTTACGTATTTGATCCCTTATTTTTTTTTAAACATTTCCCTTATTTTCATAACATTTGACAGGTGAGGAACTTGTGGCTCAAACAGAACAAATGGCTTGGCCAGGGTCTTAAAGTAATTATAACATTCTGGACAGGAGGCAATTTACATTCTATCTTCCAGACACCATGCTTCTACTTAAACAGCCTTTGCTTTTCTGACACTTGATAATTTGTTTATTCAGTAGTTTATTAAGAGGTTTTGGAAATATCAGCTACTATTTATAAAGCTAAAGATAAAATGAAAGCTTAATAAATTAGTATCTTTTCCTTAACTGAGATACACTCACTCAATTAATAATTTTCCATTGAATATGAGCAACATACTAACTTGAGAACAAGCTTAGGGCAATACATAAGGGATCAGCAGAGAGGTATTTTTGTAGTTCAGGAAAAGAGTTGAAATAGTGATAATGGTAGAAGTCAAAATTGTCAGATTTTATATACTCTGAAGGCAAAGTCAGTAGATATTACAGATGGGCTTTATATATGATATAAGAGAATGAAGTAAAGCTGTATCTCCAATGAGGGCTGGCAATATGGCTCATCAGGCAGTGGTGCTTGCCACCACGTCTGATTACCTGAGTTTGACCCCCAGAACCTACATGAGAGAATTGACATCCTCAACCTGTCTTCTGATTTCCACATATGCTATGCCATGCATTTGTGTATGCATATATTTAAAAAATAAGTAAATATAAAATATACATTAAAAAATAATTAATAGTGCCAAGCACAGTGTCATGTGTATAAACCCAGCACTCAGAAAGCTGATACAGGAATATTTGGCTGGGCCACACAGAGCAACTGTGTTTCAATAAAAATAAACAACAACAAAAAGACACATCTCTTAAATTGTTCCCCATTTGTCTTATCAACTGGAAAAAAAATAGAATTTTCATTATTCTAGATAGATAAGATACTTGGGGGAGAAGTTCTGGAAAAAAAAAAGACCAGGGCTTTTTGTCTTATACACAAACATATAAAGCTGTAGTTGTGCCAAGTGTTAGAAAGTTGTTGACAGATTCAAGTGTGGATTTGACTTATCAGATTTATATTTTGAGCATATTTAAAAAGATAAGCCCAGCCCAAGGATTTGTAGGTAGAATCCCTAGTTGCTTTGGGATCTTAAACAAGTCATGATATCCTTCTTAATTTTCTGACCTTCCCAATGGGATAGCAAGTCTTGTGTATCCCAAAAGATTACAAGGGAACCAGGTCTGGTGGCACAGGTCTGCAATCTCAGCTGCTCAGGAGACTTAGGTAGTAGGATTGAGGGTTGAAGGCCTGCTTGTGCTGTAGAATTAATGGTAAATAATAATAATAATAATAATAATAATAATAATAATAATAATAATAAGGTTAGGGCTATAGCTCAGTGGTAGTGCACTTTTATGTGGGCCCTAGGTTCAGGCTCCAGTACCATCAACAAAACAGAAGAACTGCCACAAGGATTAGCTGATGTTTAAGATGAATAAACATACTATGACAATTAGAAAATTATCAAATTTATAGAAAAGTAGCAAATACAATGCAAATAATATTTTCCTGAACAATTTCAGGGTAAGATAAACAAGAACATTCTCCTGCATAATAGTAATAAGACTCTCAAAACAAGGAAATTAATATTTATATATCACTTGCTCTCTCATCCTTGGACTGCCTTGTTGAAATTGTTCCATTAATGTCCTTTATAGCCAGAGGGTTCAGCAATGGAATTATATATAATATATGACTGCTATGCCTTTTTAGTCTCCTTCCATCTAGACTAGTCCTTCATTCTTGATTCTCATGGTTTTAAAAGGCTATCTTTCAGTCTTAACAGACCACAAAATATAACCTAGATACTAAACTAAATTTGCTATTTATTTTATACCAGTGGTTGAGATGTATTTATGGAAATGTATTCAAACAGTCATAAAGGTCTCTTCTGAGTAACTTTAATGTCAGCTGTTCTTGAGGATGACTAAATAATTGAATTATTCCTCCAAACAACATAACAACTTAATGGATATTAAGTTAGAGAATCTTAAATATGATATCTAGATTTAGTGAACATCTATCCAAAAATATTCTACTAGCCTCTAGCAGCAGTTTTAAAACTTTTTGATATTTATAGATAAGTTTCAGATACTACAGTAAGTATTATATGGTAAACAAGAAAAATCTGGTTTTTTTTACTCGTGGAGCTTACAGAAATGTCAGCTACAATCTTGCTGAGGAATGAATTGTTGGGATCAATATGAAATAAGGGAACAAAGAAATGTGAAACAGGAAATTATTTCAAGGGAGAATGTCAGGATGGGGAGGGCTTGTCTCCAGGAGAAAATAGCTATATATCTGCTCCCTCAACTCTTGGCAAAGCCAAGGACTATTATTCATTTGTGTTTATTTACTTCCTTATTTATTTATTTATTTATTTATTTATTTATTTATTTATTTATTTATTCATTCATTCATTCATTTATTTATTTATTGTGCGAGAGAGAGAGAGAGAGAGAGAGTGTGTGTGTGTGTTTGTGTGAAAGCTGAAGGACAGTTTATGGGAAGCAATTCTTTTTTTCCACCCTGTAGGTTCCAAGAATTGAACTCAGGTTGGCAGACTTGGAAGCAAGCAGCCTTTCCCATTGAGCTATGTCACCATCCATCAAGGACTATTAAAGTTGAAATATGAGATTTTCCTTGCTTGGTTGAGGTTGTGGGTCTTTCAGGAAGTTGTTAAGCGGCTGAAAAGATCATGGTAACTGTGGTCTTGGCCACAGCTTAAAGTTCAGATTAGACAGGAATGTCCTTAACTTCCCACACTGCTTCTAAAGGTTTTCAGGAGAGTGACTCTTCATGTTCCTTTGGGTATACTTTGGTTGGTGCCATGGAGCAGATAGTCTGGAATTCAAAACCTAGACCTTAGGTATAGGTTTACATTTAACCCCTGTGTGACCTTGGCAAACTCTTCCTCAGAAGTGTTGTAATTTTAAAATGAAATAGTAATACTTGTTCTTGCTGGGGTAGTTGTGAGGATCAGGTTAAGAGTGACCTTTAAAACAGTTAGATACTGTAGTCATGTGAGGAATCAGCTGCACCTGTATCGACTTATTCAACATGTAAGGCAGGTATGGCAGAGCTTTTCTTTGATCTCTGTCAGCTAAGTTATCCTTCTACCCCATGTAAGCAAGTATTCAGTTGCCATATAAATTTCATATTCTGAATCTTCCAGGAATGAGTCCACTGATCCCTGTAGAAATGCAAGAACATTTGGTGACCTGACTACAAGTTCTGCTTGTTTCCATCCTCTTCCTTTCTGTATCTATATATTTTCTTTGAAAATGATTTAGAGAATTGCTCCCCTACCACTGGGAAGGAGAAAAGAATCAACAAGTCTAAGATATACATAGATTATCCTTTCTAATATCAGCCTTTTGCCTCTTTCAACTCTCTTTTCCTATCTTATATTTTACAGAGAAAAAAATAGAGTGAGTTTGTGCAATTTTATATATTGAATGAGCATGAACAGTAAATGTAGGCTTAGTAACTCCATATTCAGATGCTGGGTATCCTGCATTTTTGCATGTAAAAGTAAGCACTTGCCAATTTTGTTAGAAATTCAGGTCTCCATCCCGGCCTATTTATTTATTTTTATTTTATGTGTATGGGTGCTTTGCCTGCATTAAGTATATGTACCACATGTGTAGAATAACTATGGAGGCCAGAAGAGGATTCACATACCTGGAACTAGAGTTACAGGTGTTTGTGGGCTGCCATTGGGTGCTGTGAATAGAACCTGGGTCCTCAGGAAGTGCAGAAAGTGCTCTTAACTGCTAAGCCATCTCTCTAGCCCTGCCAGCCTATTTAACCAGAATCTCCAGAAAATATAACCTCTGAATCTATTTTTATAAGGTTCTCAAATAGTTGTTATGTGGGGGTAGAGTACCCCTGAAAAACAAGCTTTTCCCCATTGGGGTTATGGATCAGCCGAGTGTGAGGCAAAGGGTTCAACTACCTCCATAATAATGTTTAGGATAGGAGAGAAACTGATGTTTTTTTTAACACATAAGAGAAGAGTAATTGTGAAGGAGGGTGGGGAAAGAGAATTCTTTCTAGATTTCCTGATAGATCAGTGTTAGGAAAGATTACATACAGAAATTGAATATGTAGTCAGAACATTTCTTGGCTGGGCATTGGTGGTGCACCAGTTCTAGCTTCAGGAGGCAGAAGCAGCAAGCCTCTGTGAGTTTGAATTCCTTCAACCACACAGTTCTCATGGCTTTAACACATTGGTT